TCCTGCTGGCGTAGCTGCCTTGTGGTGGTTGGTATGAAGGTGCCATCCCGCTGCCCCTTGCCAGCCCGTGGACAAAGCAGGTCAAAGCAATTTCCCTTTCCTGCTCTGGTTACTGTGTCTCTGCTGTTGTGGGAGGTAGCAAAGCCTCCTCTGCCTGGTTCCTCTGCAGCAAACCCGCAGCTGCGTAGCCCCGTGCTAGAGCAGGGCACAGGCCGCTTCCCTTCCATGGCAAAGCTCCAGCTAACTGAACTGGGAGACTTTCTCCCTCTTCCACCCTGTTTCACTTGCTACACCTTTAGGAACCAGAGCTTTAAGCCCTTTCTATGTCTCTGAGCGATCTTCATGTGCTGGGCACCTTGGTCACTTACCCCCTTGTCTCAACAGGGAACTCTTTCCATCGGTGGCAAAGAAGTGACCCTTGAGTACACTCCGTGCCCAGAGTTTTGGCGCTGCAAACGTGTAAGTATGTGACCAGAGAGCTGTGCTGTGCTTCCCCCACTGGCTGTCACCGCAGTGGCAGCCGGGAGGAGCGTTAGATACTTTCTCAGTGCCTGAAGATCCTTAAGACTGATACCTGCCCTAAAGCTCTTCCCTCTTCTGAACTTCTGTGGTTTTCCCTACCTTGGTTTTGGTACCATCTATGAGTGCATGTTGCTTTGGCGCAGGCAGCACGTGTTTTATGCGCACAGCAGTTTTATCCCTATGCAGTGCTTCCCTTTTAACGTGAAAAAATAGCATGTGGATCCTTTCTCCTTAAAAACCAACATGAGACAGTGATCCTGTCAACCAGAATGGAACAGGCTTTCGCTCAGGTTCACGTGTGTAACCACAAGTGTCTCCGTTGCCCAGGTAAGCAGAGCTTTCCCCGGTGTAACGGTGCAAACTCACGCAAGAACCTGTGCTCTAGATTTGAGCGTGGGAAGTGCAGCAGGGACAGAAGCATGGAAATGAGTGTGAGTCCAGGCAGCGGGCAGTACTGGAACTAGCCCATTTCTGGGGAGGTGCAGTTGCCCGAGGGTCAGTTCTGCTCCTGTGCCCTTCCTGTGGCTCTCCCAGAGCGGGCGCTTTCAGCCGCGATGGGCTGGGCAGGAGTGCTGGAGCAAAGGGCAGGGCTGGTGCCTGCATTCCCACGGACTGCACAGTTTGCAGCGGGGTGGGAAGGGATCAGTTCCAGTTAGATGCCCTCCTTGGCCACTGGGTCACACTGGGCTACAAAGACCCTCACCCAATCTACCTGGGTGCTCTCCAGCTGCCCGCAGCATTGCTGGGTGCCTCGTCTGTGCTCGCAGTGCTCCAGCAATCTAGTGGCGACAGAAGTGTCGGGCGGTGGTTTCACAACAGCTCCGGGTGCACGGAGAAGTAGCTGGAGCGTACGTCCCTGCTGTTGCTGTGCGTAGGCATGGCCTGAAAGAGCTTCCTTGTGCCCCAGAGCATTTGCAAGGCTTCAGTTAGAGGGAAGAAAATGGTTTGGAGGAGAAGCAGTGCGTTTACAATGAGCTTGAAGAGGAAGTTAGGAATGCTGTGTTCAGAGGGTGCTGTGGAGACGGGCACATGGCTCTTTCCACGGTGCTCTGGTGGGATAACAATCCGAGCCTGTAGAGCTCTCTCTCTGGCTAGCAGGCACCTCTTCTTTGACTCCCTGTGCAGCAGATCTGCAGGTTAGCTGCGGTAAGGACTCTGTCACTGCTTTGGGGGTGAGTTGGGTTTAGAGGACACAAAGGTAACTTTGGATCCTTTGGAACAACAGGGTGGCTAGCAGTATGATGCCTAGCATGGAGCTTTTGGTCCTGCCTCACTTGAGGAGGGGAGGAAGGGTCCCGTCTCAAGGACTAGTGAAGTATCTCCACAGTGTGAGATCTGTGCTCAGAAGTTGTGTGAAAACCCTGTTCCCAAGGCAATCCCAGTCATGAGCCGTGTGAGCATTTCTCTTCGGCTCCAGCCCAGGTTCCTGCTGCCATTACTCATCCTGGCTCTCAAGCTTTCCCTGTAACTTTTCCGTGGCCGTTACTTTCTGAAAGCACTGCAGGGTCTGGCCTTCTGGAGTAGGTTGTACCTACAAAACATGACTTCCTCACGCTGTGCATCTTCCATTGCAGTGTAAGGTGTGTACTGTGGGCTACAGATCTTCCTGCTCCTATTGCAAGCTCCCGAGAGATGGTGAGTATGTCATGTTCCCTGTGCTGGCTTGGTTAAAAGTTTCCTCTGCCCTGACAAGTAAGTTTCTCTTCTGGCTTCCCCGTGGCATCCCTCTTGGGAGCCTAGCTGAGCACGGTGTAGGAGGATTATTAGTTTGGCTTCATTTAGACCCTTTTCCCTACCCACATTAAAGATGTGGGTGTCCCTGCCCATGGCAGGGGGGTTGGAACTAGATGATCTTTAAGGTCCCTTCCAACCCAAACCATTCTATGATTCTATGATTCTATGTGATGTGTGGATGTGTATCTGCCAGGTGCTCTGTTCTTGTGGGGCTTGGTGGAGAGGTGTCTTATTGCACAAAGCCTTTCCTTCCTACTGCTTTGGCATTCTCCCTCATCCGCGGAGCTGCAGGCCGTGTGTCCTCCAGGACTGCGAGCTGGTGCTGCTGGCCGTGGGTGAGATGGCTGCCCCTCAGCCTGCCATCCCTGGGAGATGCAGCTGCGTGCTTTTAGCCTGACTCTGTTGAGGCCCTCAGATTAGAGGTGGATCCAGGATCTCAGTGGCTGAACTCATCTTGTTGGCTGCAAGACATGCATGGGAAGGAGTTCTGCTCCTCCTCACATCACCTTTTTGGGGCAGGATGGCACGAGAACCAAAACACGCTCCTTTGAGGAACTGATTTCTTTGGGATGAGCAGGTATTCCAGGCACTCCGTACCTTCGAGCAGACTTCTCATGTTTTGCATTTCTCACCCGCATACCCTAGGCAGAAGGGCATTAAAATAGCTGCCGGTGCAGAGCTCCTTATTTACTGAAGCACTGTCCCTGTGGCTGTGCTGTCCTTGCACCGTGGCTCCTCCGTCAGTGTTACGAAGGCAGATTTCACGTAGCTGGCCCAACACATCTGTGAACTGTCATAAAACTGCCGAGAAGCAAATTAAACAGAGCCTTTAAGATGCTGTGAAGGCAGATTGCGGTGCATGCTCCTTACTGACTTGGTTTGGTTGATTGTGAGAGCGTGTGTAATAAGGTAGCCTCTCTGTGGCTGTCCTTTAATTGCCATTGAAACAACTCTCTCGACATAAACAGGCGTTACTGCAGCTTTGCGTGAGTTCTTGTGTGCTTTGTGACCAATGGTCTTGAAATGGATTTTAATATGCCTCTCTTGCAGGGAGCAGAACAGGCCCAGAGTCCAGAGGTGGTGCTGAGGGGGAGGACACGTCAGCTGAGCAAGAACTCAGTAAGAGAACTGCGCACTCCATCTCCGGGGTCGGGCTCACGTCTGTGTGATTTGCATAGACAGTTTTCACAGCTGCACATGCAGGCTGGTTTTATGTCCAAAACTGACACGAGGTTCTGCTCATGAAGTGGAGCCAAAACTGCATGCTGCAAACTGCAGACAAATCAGTAGGGGCCTGTCCAGCGCGAGCTGACAGCCAGGCAAGTCAGTGTGCAGCTCTCCCGACATTTACGTGCAAAAAGGCCGTGTGTTGTGCTGTGCTGCCTGCTGCCCGAGCACAACGAGAGCGGGGAGGCGCTCAGCGGGTCATGGAGGGGCGCACCTTCGTGGTGCCAAGCCTTGCACTCCCATTTCTGTGTGGGAAGAGGCTTCGGCAGCAGGTACAGGGCTGGTGATGTCTGACTTTGCAGTCCCACATCTTTGGCTTCCCTTTCCAACAGCTTTAGAAGCTCAGGTAGGTATCTCTTTTGAAGTGAAGCCATATGCTTCAGAGGCCTGCAAGCACAGAAACTTGATGGGATTTATCTCTGTATCGCATAGCTAGGCTGGGGGGCAGGGTGTTTCCCCCTAAGACCTGCCTCAGCTGTGGTGAGTAGGCACCTGATAAAAATCAGCAATTGTATTCTGATGCATTTCACTCAGTGATCACAGGCGTCTGCACCCGGTTACCTCTAGCACAGAGGGAAGGTGACAGTTACCAGTAGATACTGCTCAGCTATGGGTGTTCCAGAATTCATCAGGTGTAGGAAGGTTATTACTGCCATGGAGATGGGAGGAACACAGCTAAACCCATCCTGATTCACATTTGCCCAACAAGAGCCAGTCCTTAAATGAGGCCAAAACCCCTCGTCTCTGACAGGAGGGGTCAGGTAAAGGAGCCCAATGGGAAATAAGGATGAGCAGTATCTAGCTTGTCCCTCGCACACCTTCTGTCCACAGTGTTAAGATGTGGGATACGCAAAGGGCAGAAGAGGTTAGCCTTATATAAGGGCTGCTGCTGCGGTGGCCAGAAAAGAGCAGAAGTGAACTATATGCTGAAACACTGTGTGTGGAACCAGTGCATTTCTGCTTTCTCATAGCAGAGACAAAGCTTGAAAAACCTGAGCAAGAGTTATCAGGACAACCAGGATC